TCCTCCATTAGGACTCCTTTTAACAGTTCTTCTTTTTTCAAATATTTGCAACTTTGAATAACAATGCGATCTCGAGGAAATTCTATCCACTGAATTCGGAAAAACAAAACAAAATCTAAGCTTTTTTTAATGGACATTTCCCTTTTTGGGATAAAGCCGTAGTGTTTTTGTCATAATAATTTTTACTCTATTGTCAACGGCTTTCGAGCTAAATCTCACGAAAAATATCTGCAGTCAGAGAAAAAAAATTTTTCGACTTGTAAAAGAAAGCAAAATCTTTAATGGGACATGTAAAATCCTTAAATTACACAATTACTGGAATCCTGTTGTAGGTAGCCATTTTTCTTTTGAAGAGACATTAGTCCTTTTAATCTTGAATTTCACATGGGTTAAATAATAAAACACCAAATAAACATAAATAAATATCTCAGAAAACTTCCCAATTAATTACTTTTGTTAAGACCCCTGCTAGCCAAATCTGTTTTAATGATAGAGTGTTTTCTATTATTATATTTTTGAAACAGACATCCAACAATTACTACAAATCACTTCGTTTTCCGAGGATACCTGTCTTCGATTTTCTTTCATATAGATCAAAACAGGTTATATGGGACTGTTGTAATAATAGTAGTCATGCTTCTGCTTTTCAATAAATCATTCTAAAATCTTCTGGATTTGTCAAAATCCTTAGAAAACACAATCATTATGAATAATATAAAGAAACTCAATCAAACATACAACAAATATGTCAAATATATCTGTGTAAATATAGACCATCTCATATTTTTTAGATTTTCAAATATTATCATTAATTATATTAATATGATATTGTCTTCAAATAATCAGTGATACACTTAGGCATTATATGCAATAAAAAACACAACAAAACTTTTTTCAAGATAAATTTTATACTAATGGGGCGATATTATCAATAAAGTAGCAGAGATTTCTAATATTACACATGAATAATCATTCAAATACAGAATAAACACAAGTTACAGCGAGTAGTCTTCACTGCTAAATTAACACTTGGACAAAAGAGTGGTTTTAACAATAAATTTGAAAGATAAAATCTCTTTTGAGCCATATATTGAAGATGATAGCTTACTAAATTTTACAATTGTAACATAAAACTACAAATATTTTATGGTAATTTGGATACTACAATATGAAAATTTGTTATTAAAAATAAGCAATTAAACGAAAGGAACAACATTTTTAGTTTGAATTTTGAAAATTACCAAATTTAAGGAATATTGATGTCCTATATCTCTGTTAAGTGTAAATTAACCTTAGTATACTTGGCAATTAAAACTTGAAAAGGACTCTAATAAATAAATATCCTTAGTCGCTAGTAATTATTAAAACATCTCTATTATACGTAAAAGCACCAAATTCAATTCAAGATATAGCTAACTTACATTTATCTGAGTATTATTCAGCTTTGTGATTTGTTATAAATCTATTAAATCTTTTTAGTATTCCTAAAATAACAATAGCAATATACACTTGAATTGTTTTAATTTTCTTTTTGCCTCTAAAAGAATAAATATACTCACCGATATTAACGTCGTTACTATGTCTCTCCAAGATACTGTACCGTAATTAATTTTTGCTTTTCACTATGTTTCTAAAACAATACTTCTAATACCTCCTCAAATTTATAAAGCATGAAAATTTTGATGGTTTCGTAGTTATGTAAACATTTTCTTATTATCATTAGAATTAGAGCTTTTGCTCTTCAATGAATTAAAATATGTTCTTAGGACAATATGCTTTATAACATAATATAAAAGATGTTTACTTATATCTGTTAGAAGTGTTTTTTGTTTTTTTAAAGATCTCTAGATATCTGATATTCAACTGTAATAATATAAAAGAATCTCATAAATGACTGTATCAATTTTCCCTATTAATTGAATACTAATTAGAAATATGCTTGGGATAAATCAATTTGAACTTACAATTTCATTTCTATGAACTTCATTTTTTTTATATAATACAGGATACGACAATCTCTTGTTATACTAAATTCTTATGGGTCAAAAGATTTTGTATATATCATAATGAGTATGTTTTGGGCATTATTTCTGTTAACTATAATAAATATTTATACAATAATGAATCAACTACTTCTTATAGGTTGCGGATTGCATACATTCCAAACTAGAAGAAATGATTCACTTCCTAATACTACATAAAAACATTGATGCAATAACATCAACATTTAATACGATTAAAAAAATGAATGTCCAAATTTTTCTGATCAAAAACAACAGAAAAAAAAACTGTTTTTCTTGCGCTGAAGTAATGAAAAAATGCATTTCTTTCGAAGTGAAAATAAAACATTTAACATAAACGGCTTTATCTACTATGGATCGTCTTAAAAAACTTTAGCTTACGTATTGACTGGCTATTCTTCTCAACAACACCATATTAGTTTTCAAAGAAATTACAAACTTGGTATTCACTAGAATTTTCCAATCCATTTGAAACAAAAACAATAAATACCATGAATTATTGAAACAATAGCTATAGCATATTCCCCCTTGATGTCAAATCACAATTAAAATTCATAATTAAAACGTTTATAGTATTATAATTACCTCTGCTTGTTTGGAAACATCTATTAGCCCATTTTACGATGAAAGCAAGTAGAAAGTTTCATGTGAGTGAGATATTTCTGTTTTGCCCTCAACCAATTTTTATTTTGCTATTATGTGGTCGTTTAAAGGAAAATTTCTCAATGTTTGTTCCAAACAACAACAGGCAAGATGTCATGCACAAAAGTAGTCTAAAACAACATATTTGTGCCAGTTGCATAAATGTCAAAAAGGAAATTGCAAGATTCGAAAACAAAACTACTATTTACCATGAAATTATGCAATCTTAAATTCGACTACGTTATTATAGTTAAAAATGCCAAATAAGTGAATGCAAATAATTTCTAGGCTTTAGCATCTATTGCAACTGAAATATTTTGATAAATGATAAAGATTGGCAGTGTTGTATTGATGCTAACTTTAGCAAGTTAAACTTAAATCAGGTTCCATAGAGACAATAACTTATGTGGAGTTATATTTTAACACATATGATAGAATTGATGATTAGCACAGTAGTATTGAAGATAGTTGGTTTATCTTAGACAATAATGAATTTTATATCTAACATTTCTATTACTTGAGCCTTAGACAAATTGGATCTCCATTTTATTAAAAACTATGCAGAAAATATATATGGTGTTTATAAACAAACACACATTGATCCTTCACTATTTCTTTTTCTTGAAATATTTTCTTCAAAAAGTTGTTTTAATGATCTACAAAAATCACTTTTAAATAAAAAAGTAGTGATTATCTGCCTATTATTCAACAGTTTTGATAAGTATACTAATAATTAAATAAAAAGAAAATAAGGCAAAAGCTAGTGGATATTATTTTACAAATAAAATAACAGATAGACTTTTCTTACCTATGGTTATAATATTATATATATCTAGAATATTTATTGCTATATCATAATAAATAGAATTCTAAAATTTATTAGTTCACCATTAAATAAATATGAAATCCAACCTTTATTAATGCGTTTAAATAATTTATACATTACAACATCTAAATTCTTCACATAATACTATTAATACTTACAAATGAATAATATTTAATGACATAGTTTTTGGAAAAGATAATACAAAGTGAAATATTAAAAACTAATGGGTGTATATTATATTTCTATTATTTTGTATATTTTATTAAGTTTTAAGATATAATTAGATGTAAACATTTCAAGTATATATAATGACATTTGGTACGAAATAACACTTGAATTCTTTTTGTGCAACTGTTTTAGTTCAATATCATTATTATTGGAAGTGATATTATTAAAAGATTCAAATGGTTCAGTCAACAGAGTATGGGACAAAAGTGGTAGTAAATGATCTAATTTGGAAACACTGTTGTATCTCCTGAAGGACTTTGTAATATATTCGTCATCATATGTATTTGTAGTAGTATTAAGATTATTGTTTCTCATATTCACTAATAGTTCCTTTAAGTTGGTCTTCTTTATGTTAGATATTGGTTGAATTAACTTTTTTGGATTAATCAATTTTTCAAAATGTTCGTTCTCCAAATCTATTACTTCTTGGATTTTCAGGTGATCTCCTTCATCAGCTGTATTTTCTAAATCATCTAAGGGTACTACATCTTTTTTATATCGACTTGTTTTTGAAGATTTTATTTCTGTTTTAGTTTGCCTATCAAACTTTGGTGGTTTCCTCATTAGAAATGTCTTCACCGAGACGTTGGATACATTAACACCAACAGGAATATATTTTGGTTTACTTGTTTGAACAGTATCGAGGTCTACCTGCTCAGGTAGTTCCACAAGGTTGACAGTCTCTAGGTCTTTCGATATTCCTTTTACTTTGCTCCCATTCAGCTTAGTTCTCTTATATTGTCTCTTTAGAAGATCTGATATGATCATTGATATATTTCAGTAGGGTCTTCAGATATTTGGTGTGTACGATAGCATTGAAGGATTCCATATAGATAGTGACGTATTCTTCACAACTGAAATGAAAAAAATATCGTCCTTGAGACGCATAAAGTTGTATTTAAGAAGGTCAATAACTTATACAACCCCTGTTGTCATGCTTTTTAGGTAAAGAAAAGAAGGCATCATGATGATGAGAATGAAGTAAACTACTAAGGCCATGCTCGTAGTAGTAGGACAAGATTCAATATTTTTAAGTAAAAATAAATTAGACCAACTAAAAGTGTTCTGTAAATAAATTATATTTAAAAAAAATATTTTATACAAAAAGTAAATAAATAAAACCGAGGTTAGTATAAAAAAGAGAGGCATTTGTACTTGTACTAATAATCAACAGGTGCTGTAATTTTTTTATACTAACATCAGACAATCACAATAAATGATATATTACAGCGTCTGCCAATTATTAGTACAAGTTCAAATGCCTCTCTAAAACGGTATCATAATTAGATCAAATGAATAAGAGCCATTAAAATAGCGCTGAATAGAACATCTGAGGTTAAACTAGCTGCCAAACCTTCATATTTTGCAACTGTAACACTTTCCGCAGAATTAGAAGAAGAAGTAGCAACACCTACAGATGGAACAACATTGGAATGGGCAGATTCCATGCTTACGTCTGAAGGTGCAGGAGCAGTAGCAGCAGAAGCTGAAACAGAACCTGTCTTAGCACTGTCTGGACATGAAGTAGTGTATGTAGTGATAACAACACCATCTGTAGTATAAACTGTGCTAACTCTCAATACTGGTTCGCCATGTAGGGCAGTTTGACCGTTTTGGGAAGAAAACGAAGAGGTAGCGGTGGATAGTGAGCAAATTGGACATTCAGTAACATCTACCATGTGTGTGCTCTTAACAGTAGTGGTTGTCACGGAGTGAGCAACATTTGTTTTAGCAGATGCAGCTTCACCAGCAGCATGTGCATTACCATTGGCACTAATAGTAGAACCATTACTGTTGCTTAGGGTAGATGTTGTTGCAGTAGTAGCTGATCTGTCAGTAGCATCCATAGCAGAACTATGACTGATTGAAGTAGATTTCTTAAAAGTGATGGTTGAGCTGTTAGTAGCATCCATAGTAGAACCATTACTCTTGCTTGAAGTAGATTTTTTAGAAGTGATGGTTGAACTGTTAGTAGCATCAATAGCAGAACTATGACTGATTGAAGTAGATTTGCTAGAAGTGATGGTTGATCTGTCAGTAGCATCAATAGCAGAACCACGACTGCTGCTTGGGGTAGATGTTGTTGCAGTAGTAGCTGATCTGTCAGTAGCATCCATAGCAGAACTATGACTGATTGAAGTAGATTTCTTAAAAGTGATGGTTGAGCTGTTAGTAGCATCCATAGTAGAACCATTACTCTTGCTTGAAGTAGATTTCTTAGAAGTGGTAGTTGATCTGCTAGTAGCATCAACAGCAGAACTATGACTGATTGAAGTAGATTTGTTAGAAGTGATGGTTGATCTGTCAGTAGCATCAATAGCAGAACCACGACTGCTGCTTGGGGTAGATGTTGTTGCAGTAGTAGCTGATCTGTCAGTAGCATCCACAGCAGAACTATGACTGATTGAAGTAGATTTCTTAAAAGTGATGGTTGAGCTGTTAGTAGCATCCATAGTAGAACCATTACTCTTGCTTGAAGTAGATTTCTTAGAAGTGGTAGTTGATCTGTCAGTAGCATCCATAGCAGAACTATGACTGATTGAAGTAGATTTGTTAGAAGTGATGGTTGATCTGTTAGTAGCATCCATAGTAGAACCATGAATGTTTGAAGTAGATTTTTTAGAAGTGATGGTTGATCTGTTAGTAGCATCCATAGTAGAACTATGACTGTTTGAGGCAGATTTCTTAGAAGTGATGGTTGATCTGTGAGTAGCATCAATAACAGAACCACGACTGTTTGAGGTAGATTTGTTAGAAGTGGCAGTTGATCTATCAGTAGCATCCATAGCAGAACTATGACTGATTGAGGCAGAGTTTTTAGAAGTGGAGGTTGATCTATCAGTAGCATCAATACCAGAACCATGACTGATTGAGGTAGATTTTTTAGAAGTGGTAGTTGATCTGCCAGTAGCATCAATACCAGAACCATTACTGTTGCTTGAGATAGATTTCTTCGAAGTAGCAGAAGGGGTAGAGGATGACTTAGGTTTACTGGAAGTACTACTTGAAACAGATGCTTTCAAAGGCATGACATTTTCAGGGAATTCACCTTCATAATTACCAGGAGGTGCGTACTCACAAACAACATAATCACGGTAATAGGTGCCACAATATTTTACAGCACAACCAACCTCCTTGGTGGATCTCCAAACAACCTGTGTAAAATGTCCAGTTGCCATGGAAAAGCCAGGATGGCTGTAATTATAATGAGCAATTTCACTATACCAGGCGTCCACAGCAGCGACTGCATTAGGAAATCCCAGGGCAAGGTTTTCACCGTATGGACCATGAGAGTGCACAAGTCTACCAGAAGAACAATCATAAACGGCAGCATACTTCTCAGCATATACAGCTAAAGTATTAGACCAGGTCAAATTACCAGTATCAACATGCAAAGCTCTCAACTTATTGTGTGCGAGAACAACAGCAGCCTGTTCTTCTGGAGTCAACGCATATTTAGTATAATCAGTAGATGTTGTTGCTGTGGTGGTTGATCTTTCAGTAGCATCAATAGCAGAACCACGACTGCTGCTTGGGGTAGATGTTGTTGCAGTAGTAGCTGATCTGTCAGTAGCATCAACAACAGAACTATGATTGTTGCTAGAGATAGATCTTTTAGAAGTGGAGGTTGATCTGTTAGTAGCATCCATAGTAGAACTATGACTCTTTGAAGTGGATTTCTTAGAAGTGATGATTGATCTGTCAGTAGCATTGATACTAGAACCATGACTGTTTGAGGCAGATTTGTTAGAAGTGGTGGTTGATCTGTTAGTAGTATTCATAGCAGAAGCATGATTTATTGAGGTAGATTTTTTAGAAGTGGATCTGTCAGTAGTATTCATAGTAGAACTATGATTGATTGAGGTAGATTTGTTAGAAGTGGATCTGTCAGTAGTATTCATAGTAGAACTATGACTGTTACTCGAGGTAGATTTTTTAGAAATGGTGGCTGATCTTTCAGTAGCATCAATAGCAGAACCACGACTGCTGCTTGGGGTAGATGTTGTTGCAGTAGTAGCTGATCTGTCAGTAGCATCAACAACAGAACTATGATTGTTGCTAGAGATAGATCTTTTAGAAGTGGTAGTTGATCTGTTAGTAGCATCCATAGTAGAACTATGACTGTTTGAGGTAGATTTGTTAGAAGTGGCACTTGATCTGTGAGTAGCATCAATAGCAGAACCATGACTGATTGAAGTAGACTTGTTAGAAATGATGGTTGATCTGTCAGTAGCATCCATAGCAGAACCATGACTGATTGAAGTAGACTTGTTAGAAATGATGGTTGATCTGTCAGTAGCATCCATAGCAGAACCATGACTGATTGAAGTAGACTTGTTAGAAATGATGGTTGATCTGTCAGTAGCATCCATAGCAGAACCATGACTGATTGAAGTAGATTTCTTAGAAATGATGGTTGATCTGTCAGTAGTATTCATAGTAGAACCATGACTGTTGCTAGAGGTAGAAGTGATGGTTGATCTGTGAGTAGTATTCATAGCAGAACCATGACTGATTGAAGTAGATTTTTTAGAAGTGATGGTTGATCTGTGAGTAGTATTCATAGCAGAACTATGACTGATTGAAGTAGATTTTTTAGAAGTGATGGTTGATCTGTGAGTAGTATTCATAGCAGAACTATGACTGATTGAAGTAGATTTTTTAGAAGTGATGGTTGATCTGTCAGTAGTATTCATAGTAGAACCATGACTGTTGCTAGAGGTAGAAGTGATGGTTGATCTGTGAGTAGTATTCATAGTAGAACCATGACTGTTGCTAGAGGTAGAAGTGATGGTTGATCTGTCAGTAGTATTCATAGCAGAACTATGACTGATTGAAGTAGATTTTTTAGAAGTGATGGTTGATCTGTGAGTAGTATTCATAGCAGAACTATGACTGATTGAAGTAGATTTTTTAGAAGTGATGGTTGATCTGTCAGTAGCATCCATAGCAGAACCATGACTGATTGAAGTAGACTTGTTAGAAGTGATGGTTGATCTGTGAGTAGTATTCATAGCAGAACTATGACTGATTGAAGTAGATTTTTTAGAAGTGATGGTTGATCTGTCAGTAGCATCCATAGCAGAACCATGACTGATTGAAGTAGACTTGTTAGAAATGATGGTTGATCTGTCAGTAGTATTCATAGTAGAACCATGACTGATTGAAGTAGATTTTTTAGAAGTGATGGTTGATCTGTGAGTAGTATTCATAGCAGAACTATGACTGATTGAAGTAGATTTTTTAGAAGTGATGGTTGATCTGTCAGTAGCATCCATAGTAGAACCATGACTGTTGCTAGAGGTAGAAGTGATGGTTGATCTGTCAGTAGTATTCATAGCAGAACTATGACTGATTGAAGTAGATTTTTTAGAAGTGATGGTTGATCTGTCAGTAGCATCCATAGCAGAACCATGACTGATTGAAGTAGACTTGTTAGAAGTGATGGTTGATCTGTGAGTAGTATTCATAGCAGAACTATGACTGATTGAAGTAGATTTTTTAGAAGTGATGGTTGATCTGTCAGTAGCATCCATAGCAGAACCATGACTGATTGAAGTAGACTTGTTAGAAATGATGGTTGATCTGTCAGTAGTATTCATAGTAGAACCATGACTGATTGAAGTAGATTTTTTAGAAGTGATGGTTGATCTGTGAGTAGTATTCATAGCAGAACTATGACTGATTGAAGTAGATTTTTTAGAAGTGATGGTTGATCTGTCAGTAGCATCCATAGTAGAACCATGACTGTTGCTAGAGGTAGAAGTGATGGTTGATCTGTCAGTAGTATTCATAGCAGAACTATGACTGATTGAAGTAGATTTTTTAGAAGTGATGGTTGATCTGTCAGTAGCATCCATAGCAGAACCATGACTGATTGAAGTAGACTTGTTAGAAGTGATGGTTGATCTGTGAGTAGTATTCATAGCAGAACTATGACTGATTGAAGTAGATTTTTTAGAAGTGATGGTTGATCTGTCAGTAGCATCCATAGCAGAACCATGACTGATTGAAGTAGACTTGTTAGAAATGATGGTTGATCTGTCAGTAGTATTCATAGTAGAACCATGACTGATTGAAGTAGATTTTTTAGAAGTGATGGTTGATCTGTGAGTAGTATTCATAGCAGAACTATGACTGATTGAAGTAGATTTTTTAGAAGTGATGGTTGATCTGTCAGTAGCATCCATAGTAGAACCATGACTGTTGCTAGAGGTAGAAGTGATGGTTGATCTGTCAGTAGTATTCATAGCAGAACTATGACTGATTGAAGTAGATTTTTTAGAAGTGATGGTTGATCTGTCAGTAGTATTCATACCAGAACTATGACTGATTGAAGTAGATTTTTTAGAAGTGATGGTTGATCTGTCAGTAGCATCCATAGCAGAACCATGACTGATTGAAGTAGACTTGTTAGAAGTGATGGTTGATCTGTCAGTAGCATCAATAGCAGAATTATGACTGATTGAGGTAGATTTGTTAGAAGTGGTGGTTGATCTGTCAGTGGTATCTATAGCAGAACTATGACTGTTACTTGAAGTAGATTTGTTAGAAGTGGTGGTTGATCTGTCAGTGGTATTCATAGTAGAACCATTACTGTTTGAGGTGGATGTTGTTGCAGTGGTAGTTAAACTGTCAGTGGCACTTAAATAAGTAAACTGGGCTGTTGATGGAAAGAAGTCTGACCACTCTCCAGGAGGTATTGTGTAAACAGGGTTAGGATTTGATGTCACAGATAAGGTAACTGCGGGTTGAGTCCTAGGTGGTCCTTCTAGAGATAGGATTGCCCAGGGAAGTGTAGCGGGATCACGATTAACACCTTTATAAGCTGGTTTCAGAGGCATGACATTTTCATGGTATTCACCAAGTATATTACCAGCAGGCAAGTACTGACACACAAGAACATACATATAGGGAGCATACTCTAGTGTAGCACAACCAATCTCCGTGGTACCTTTCCAGACAAGTTGTGTAAAATGTCCAGCCTCATCGCTATCGACCGAGTAAGGATCGTTGTAATTATACAAACCAATTTCATCAAACCAGGCGGTTACACCGGCGACTGGAGGACCATTTCCCGCGTATTCGTTTGAGCCAACAACGTAGCCCCAATATGGAACGTCTGGATGAGACCTCCAACGACCACTGCAAACCCACCACGCTGCTCGTTGGGCTAACTCATCATTCCAGGTCACATTAGGAGTATCGACAAACATAGATCTGTACAAATTATGTTCGAGAAGAACAGCAGCCTGTTGTTCTGGGGACATCAAACACTTAGCATCCCTAGATGCATTATACGGATCATTAAAAGGTATTCCGTCCACTGTTACAATAGGACCCGGAGCTCCAGAATGTGGATTAACATAAGGTAAAGGACTGAACGAACTAACATAAATAGTAGTATAACCTATTTGCGCCTTCGACACAGCAGAAAAAGCAGCTAAAAGCAGTGCCGCGCACAATGATAAGGCACTTGAGACCATTATATTATTTTCAAATATTTGGAATTATTGACTTTTCAGTAAAATATATAGCTTGGTGCGTAGACTTTATGGCGTTAGTTTTTTTTAGTTATTTGAGGTGATATACTTAGTTCTGTTATACTGGTAGCATCTGGGAGTATAACGAGATGATGCTCATGCCTGCAAGAAGAGAAGCAAGAAACGAAAGAATATTCAGACATAATCCATAGTAGTTTTATATAAAAATGTGCTCATGACTTACAATAAAAATGATTGTCTAATAGGTTCTGATTTTTTGACTGAACAAGAATAAAATACAAATAAAGTTTTACCATAAATCTTCAATAATAAAAGTGTGTAAAGGAGTAGAAACAAAGAATGAAGAAAAAGATTTGTAATCTTCAACAATTGGACTAAAAATCCAAGTAAAGCATAAAAACACAGCGTAGTCAATTATTCTGTTATGTCTAATAGGAAAAAATCAGTGTGTGGTGATTTCTTTAAACGAAAAAGGAAACAGAAAATATTGAGTTCTCAAAAACATTTCCAAATAGAGAATTAAAAATATTGTTTATTGTTTGGGCATTTTCACGTTGCAGAACAATAGAATCATTTTTGTCTAGATATTTTACTTTTGAAGAACATAAAAGGGAAAATTTACAAGTTTAAGAATGGACAAATAATTTTTTTCCTTTTTGCTATTGTGTTGGAAACAATCGTCTTTGTATTTGATGCAACGACAAAAAGAATAAAAGTGAAGAAAAAAAATACACAAGTGGGAAAAGAGACAATACAGACAATTCTAACCACACTATAGATATACCTGTCTCTTTGTGTTCTATTTTTGAATTTTTGCTCCTGAATTATTTTAGAGAATCCCCACTCTTACAGGATCATCGCCCCTGATTAATTAGTTATTTGGCATTTATATCTCTTTTTTGTATATATCACAATATTCTATAGTAAATCGATCTATAGAATGTCCAAAATTTATTACTTCATTCACAATAGGATATTAAAATTTTTGGTAGTGACCGTGGGATCAAATAGGAATGTATAATTTAAAAAAAGGGGTAAAGAATTTTTATTGCATTGTTACTGTTTATACATAAGTTATATAAAGTTATATACTATAAGAACCATCAACAATTTTTTTTCTTTTTTTAGTTCGTATTGCAAGAATCAGCACCTTATATGACGTTAGCATGTAGTAATATTTTTTATAATATTCAACAAATGTAGTAAAATTGTTCTTTTGTTAACCAAGAATTTATTATTTAAAGTTATTACTGTTCTATTAGAGCATCTATTATGATAGAGATCTAAAATATGATTATTCTCCTGGCAGATTTGGGTCTCAATTAGACTTTTTACTGTGATATTCCTATTTCCGATTTTTTCTCTTTTTTCCGATCTAGTATAAGAACAATATAATTTGTAAAATTCAATATTCTCCATTTGAGTGGAGTATTTTTTTCTCCTTTTCGGATACACAATATGTAAGACATGCAAGAGTACTATTGAACTAGAAAAAATGACGTATACCTTGTGGAATCCTTAAAATCTTTTACAATGTCGTTTAATGATAGCTATTTGGTTTAATTTTAAGACAAACAAGAAAAAAAGATGATTATTATTATATTCGACCTATTGTTATGATGTTGTTTATTTATACTAGGTCAAAGGGTGATAAAAAGTTTGTATCTTTTTAAAGTAGCAAGACTTGATAACAGAGCATTTCTTTTTGTTTTTTGTTTGCCAATTGGTGGTTGAATGAAATGACTATAATAGATAGTATACAATGAACTATTTTTAAGCATGTTTTTTATTTTTAGATTATGGGATTTATTGTTGTCCAAAGCATCTTCTTGTACTAGTATTTAGGAATATTTCTGTTAGTAACTGAAATGAGGTATTTTTATTCCTAAGTTTCGTAATATGTCTAAAAATGACAATTTAAAAACAACCCTAAAGTTCTATGGCTTTTGTAAAGAATTGACTTACAATTTAAAAAATAAAACCTAACACAAGTCCTTGGGACAAAAAATAACAACAATCACTCTAGGACGGTTGCTAACTAAAAAAAGAAATAAACTTTGTTGGTCATTTTGCTCGTGGAATTAAACAAAGTACATTCCAACAAATAAATGCTATAGATTAGATAAATACTGAAGAATAACCTTCTTAAAGAAGATAATAACTTGTTTTTTCTACTTACTTACTATATTCATATTAAAACAGGAAAATATAATTAATTCATCTTGATATGGGTTCAAGCAGAAAATTAGTTTCTTTGTTGAGTTGCAAAACTATATTCAATCCCTCGTTTGATAGAAGAAGAGTTGAACAATCAAACTTGTTGTAGTTTTTCATTCTAAAAAAGTTAAACAATCAGACAAAAATTTGTCCAAATGTAGACAAAATTTAACCGGTTAGAAATTGGAATTAAGTATTTTTACTTTTGTCAAAAATTTTCTTTGCTTTTGTTATTACAGAATAATTGAAAAGTGAAATGAGGTTTCTGTGGTAATTGGTCTGAATGTGTGTTTACATGACAAGAGGATGTTTTTCTGTTTTACTGGAACGTACAAACAAAAAAATCTTTCATGAAAAAAAGGAAAAATTTGAGTTAGCTAAATATAAACAATAATAGATAAGAAAAATTTTCAAAGAAATTTCAATTTTTTCTAATACTTCCAATTTTTTTATTTTAATATAGCACCACCAATTTGAATTCACATTACAAGTGTAGATGTTACTTTTCTGGAAATATAAAAATTCTTCATTCTGTTTTTCAGAAAATTACAATAATGCCAAGTTGTGTTTTGGTTACTGAAAATTCGTCATGCAGATAGTGTTGATTAGTAAGAATTGCTACTGCATCTTCATAATATTTGGATAGAACCAATACATGTATTAAACAAGGTTGTGTTTCCTCTGGATGAATAATATTAGTATACATGTGTTTAGCGTTGGTGATCATATTATATGTCATTGTGATGTCAATATGTAGAGTAATTTCCCCTCGATCTCTTATTTTGGAATTAATAATTATATAAATGTAAAAGAAGCATACAATATAACGTAATTTATCCAGGTTGCAAAATTAATAAGTAAAGTCGTCTACTTATATGTGTTTACCTTTTAGCAATTTTTCATAATATATTAATTTATTTTGATTCTGTTTGATCTTGTCTCTGTAATATTGATTGTGCAAAACAAACATTTTTCTTCTTTGATATAATTACATGTTTCTCAAACCAGTAATATATCATTCCAGCAGAAATATCTATAAAAGATATTTTTGTTGTAGTCCAAATAGAGTTTAAAGTAAAAGTTAATGAGGATTCGCGAAATTTATATGATAAAAAACATCAGTATAGCGATTTCATAATGTTCTATTCGAGTTCAAACCAGTTAATACCAGAGTACTATCATATAAAAAACAGTATTTAGTATATTAGTAAGAAATATTTTTTATGACTAAAGATGAGACACTGGTTGTTTGGAGTTGTAGCATATTGTTTACTGTATGACATCGCGTTTTATTTCTTGGAAAGTCGTGGTGTTTGTATTTAATACAGTCATGACTTAACTTATTAGTAAATTGGATCTCTGGTTTATTAAAAACATATTAAAGTAATGTATATAATTATATAATATGTTATAAACAAATATAAAATGATCTCTCTTCTTTTGATTCTTTTCTTAAAATTTTTTTTTCTTAAAATTTTTCTTCTTGAAAAATATTTTTCTCTTTTAATTACTATTATTAACGACATAATAAAACAGTCTTTAATAAGAAAATCTAATAGGCATACTGTTTATATTCTAACATATACTATATACAAACAAAAAAGGACAACATATATGAATTATGAATCTAATAAGTTCACTAATTAAAGACATAGGTGTTCTGTAAAAATAAGTTGGTTTCTTCTTTTTGGTCCTATTTTTTATTATAAACAGGTTCAACACCATTACATTCAATAATGATAATCACAATTGTTATGGAATTTCTAGGTAGTTCTAGAAAATAAATTATGGTTTTTGTGACTTTGTAAACTACTGAACTTAAAACCATTGAAGTGTCACCTTAAGCAGTTTCAGTTTTTTTTACAAAAAATTGTAGATTTCCTGTATGTTAGATATGACACAAAAATTTCTGAATCCTTAAAGATTCTTAATGAAGTTGGAGTACCCACAGCTATATTAATCTAGACTACTACAGTTACAGACAACAACAAATCTTTACCAGCCAATGTTATTGTTGTTGTTGTTACTCCGTCTTAATCTATCATCTACACCGTGGCTATAGTTAAAATATCCACTAACAATGAAAACCAACCAACATCTAGCAACAATATATCATATATTACTACTGTTTTGGGTTAACAAAGGGCAATGTTCAAACTACTTTAGTAACCAATAGTATCCAATTTAACAAACTAGAAACAGGAATAATAACAACAATACCGGCTATATTCTGTGATGTGTATATTACTTCTTGTAGATCTAATAACAACCGCAAATGATGCTTTGCAACAGCTAGGTGTTGGTTAGTTCTCATTGTTAGTGAACTTTCCACTAATAGTGAATGGTGTTGGTGCTAGAGAGAGATGGAGTGACAACAATAACAACAATATCTACTGAAAAAGATTCATTTTCGTATTAGTGTGGAAGCATAAATTGATGTAATTGTGGTTAAAGTAGAGATATTACCAGTGGTGGTGGTATGCAAGGCAGATGGAACTGAAGTAATCAGTACAATAATTTCAGTATTCTGATAATAAAGAGCTGTCGCTATTGACAAGCTTAATAGTATAGAGAATAGGCTAATGTTGTAAAAGTAGTTTAGCTAGAACATAATGAAAGTACAGCTACTTGATAAAAATTTTTTTCAATAGTATCTAAGTACTGGTTATCTGTATGATAATATATCCCCAAGGAACTGAGAATAGATATGATAGGATTTTTAACTGTAACTAAATTCGGCATAGCTTTTGAATTAATTAGATAAA